TACGATACACACCTCGATACACAGGCCACGATAAGATACACACCTCGATACATAAGCCACGATACGATACACACCTCGATACATAAGCCACGATACGATACACACCTCGATACACAGGCCACGATACGATACACACCTCGATACATAAGCCACGATACGATACACACCTCGATACATAAGCCACGATACGATACACACCTCGATACACAGGCCACGATACGATACACACCTCGATACACAGGCCACGATACGATACACACCTTGATACATAAGCCACGATACGATACATACCTCGATTACAGTGAGCTTACGATTCGATACGATTCAATACAATATATTTCAAATCGAATCAATGCGGTTCTATAACAAATAAAGGCTAAATTGTGGCTGTGACACTAAAAGTTTTTGTTAAACCACTTCTTGTGCAAAGTTCATATGAAATGATCAACATTTTAATTATCAAAATTATGAAATTACGAATTATGAAAATGTTAAATGTGTTGCATAAACGAGTTTCTTTCCTCTAAAAAAGCAACCAAACTGCAGCTCTGTAACAAAATAATTTAGTAAAATATATCAAAAAATAAAAATAGTCTTGGTGATGTATCGATACACAGAAAGGTTTGGAAGTTAAAACACTGAAACTTGTGGTTGTGAGGCGTGAGTGCTAACCACTGTGCTGCTCAACCCTCTGGTTTAGTCCTGGTTTACAGAACACTGATTCAAATAAAACTCCAGATGGAGCTGGGTTTAAATGTTATAAAAACACTACAGCTCAACTTTACTTTTTAAAGCTTCACTGTGTAACTTTCCTGGGAGCGTGCGCAGCACCTGCTCGTCTCTGAGATGCTGCTGCTTTGTCTTTTGTCGATTTTTGGTAAAGTTCTGAGTGAGGAACAAAATGACTAAGAACAGTGAGACTAAAACAACTGATGTAATTTTGCACAAGAACAAAAACATTGAAATCTGGAGTCAAAAAAACAACAGAGAAACGACAAATTCTGTAAAACAAAAACAAACAGATCCAAATATATCGAACGTTTGAGGAACAGAATGTTTCTAAAAAGTTTTTGTTGTCAGTCGACTCGGAAATTAAACTTCTGCACTGCTCCTTTTACTGACAGTCAATCCTCCTCCTCTGACCCTCTGCTCCTCTGACCCTCTCCTCCTCTGACCCTCTGTTCCTCTGACCCTCTGCTCCTCTGACCCTCTCCTCCTCTGACCCTCTGTTCCTCTGACCCTCTGCTCCTCTGACCCTCTGTCCTCTGACCCTCTGTTCCTCTGATCCTCTGCTCCTCTGACCCTCTGCTCCTCTGACCCTCTCCTCCTCTGACCCTCTGTTCCTCTGACCCTCTGTTCCTCTGACCCTCTGTTCCTCTGACCCTCTCCTCCTCTGACCCTCTGTTCCTCTGACCCTCTCCTCCTCTGACCCTCTGTTCCTCTGACCCTCTGTTCCTCTGACCCTCTGTTCCTCTGACCCTCTGTTCCTCTGACCCTCTCCTCCTCTGACCCTCTGACCCTCTGCTCCTCTGACCCTCTGCTCCTCTGACCCTCTGCTCCTCTGACCCTCTGTTCTTCTGTTCCTCTGACCCTCTGCTCCTCTGACCCTCTGTTCCTCTGACCCTCTGTTTCCTCTGACCCTCTGACCCTCTCCTCCTCTGACCCTCTGTTCCTCTGACCCTCTCCTCCTCTGACCCTCTGCTCCTCTGACCCTCTGTTCTTCTGTTCCTCTGACCCTCTCCCTCTGTCCTCTGACCCTCTGCCCTCTGACCCTCTGTCTCTGACCCTCTGCTCCTCTGACCCCTCTGTCCTCTGACCCTCTGTTCCCTCTCTCCTCTGACCCTCTGTTCTCTGTTCCTCTGACCCTCTCCTCCTCTGACCCTCTCCTCCTCTGACCCTCTCCTCCTCTGACCCTCTGTTCCTCTGACCCTCTCCTCCTCTGACCCTCTGGTCTCATAATCATGTTTAACTTTTTACATTCATACTTCAACCTTCTGATCCTCCTGTAGGAACAAATCTATACGTAATATCTTTGTTGCCAAGAATGAAAACGATCGATTTTCTGAGAACGCTGAGCAGAGCGTCGATACAAAACCGCAGAAGAGCGACGGGCTCCTCCAAGAGAAGCTCGCGACGACTGTGAGTGACCAGGAAACTCCCAGGACTCCACGTTTCTCTGCAGCTGTGATGATTGTTGGATGGATCCATCACCAAACAAACCAAACTCACTCACACTCACACTGTTGTACCAGACCAACAATCAAACATCAATCAGACACAATCAAACATCACACACTAATCCATATTAAAACGACGATCAGTATTGATACTAAAAACTCATGTTGACAGAAATGTACTTCTCCTGAATGTGTTTGGAACAATCTGGAACTGGATCAGAACAAGAGACTAGAATACACACATGGACCTGGTTTAGTCCTGGTTTAGTCCTGGTGTAGTCCTGGTGTAGTCCTGGTTTAGTCCTGGTTTATAAGGACACATGGTAATAGAAAAATATATTATCTAGATCAGGCATGTCCAAATTATGGCCAGTGGGCCAAATGCGGCCTTCACACAAATTTTTCTTGGCCCTCAGGCTTCCAGGTGAATTGGCCCAAATTACCATGCATCAATTAAAAATGTACTTTTTACTGCAAGTTTTTTGAAAGTCAACTTGATAAAGCTCATATTGAATATTTAGTGAACAAAGTCTGACTGATCATTCTAACGTGTTAAACATGCACAGATTTCAGTTATTCCCTGTACTGAGCTCCAGTCCTCTGCTTCATCTGGTCCAACACCCCTGGTCTAAAGAAAGAGGGTTTTTAATGATCAGTTACCACGTTTAGATGACAACTTTAATTCTGAATAAAAATAATTTAATTCTGAATAATTAAAAAAAATTCTGAATAATAAAAAAAAACATGTAAACACTTAATTCCTAATGAAAATGATTATTCGGAATTGAACTTAAACTTAATTCCGAAGTAAGTGTTTGGTTTATACCAATTTTAAAGCTGAATGAATTTCTTCCTAGATCATGTTTCTCGTTTCTTCTTGTTAAAATAATGTTGGTGCTTCGGCGCATGTTCGCCGTGTCGTCCTTCGATCCGGCTCCACCAGTCCTGACTTTGGGACGTTCATCTCGGTCTCTTTGGATTTGTGAGCTGGATGAAACAATTCTCCAGCTGCTTATCATCGAAACCACAGCGGGAAAAGTCTGGATGGTGTTTGTGTCCGTGGAGGAACGACAAACCCAGACGACAGAAAAGCCAGGAGCAGCTGAAGTGTTTGTTTTCTTCTGGTCAACATAAATCCGTTGGCGTCTCTGTCCGATCAGAACCTTCCCCACCCCCAGACGCTCACACACATTAAATAAAGACGATTTAAAGACGAGTTTTCCATGTAAACATCAACTCAGAATTATTATTTCCATGGAAACTCGAAGGAGAATATTTTAATTTTGATCTATTTAATTCAGAAATAAAAACATCATGTAAACGTGACTTTTGTGGTATCAGATCCGGTTTTGAGAGTCCAGTAAATTCCGTCGTATCATACTGGAGTCTGAAGTGTTTCCTGACAGCTCTGGTCTTGGGTTAGATTCCGTCTTGGGACTGTTCCGTTTTGCGCCTGTCACTAAACGCCGGTGGCTTGCGTGTCTCTGGTTTATCAACTTCAGGTTATTCCGTTTTGCGCCCGTCAGGTTGAATTGTCCCTGTTCTCTGCACCTGTCAGTGGGAGACTGGGGAACTCCATTAAAACGCTCCGACCGGGGGTTTCCATGACAACAGAACCAGCATTATTCTAAATGAACCCGGAGCGTTTTCTGAAAGATCACAATAATTTAACTACGACACAAAACAACAAAAAAGGATTCAAGATCCAGAGAGGAGAGCAGGAACAAGAGAAGCGTCGGCTTTTTGTGGCTCTGTGTTGTCAGAAATGTCGGTGAAAACACTTTTTAAACTCCACATTCAGGTCACAGAACAGGAGGAATGTGTCTGTGATCATCAGGGCTGCAATGATCCAACAAACATGACTCGTCCACTATAAAAAAGAATCATAGTCTTTTAATTATACTTGTTATCTGGACTACACTGACTCTATAGTGTCAAAAAAAAGAAAAAAACAATCTCTGTCTCTTCTCATTTTCGTCATTTTCACTTTCATCCCTCTAGACGCCTTTATTTGGTTGATAATGTAGAAGTCTCTTTGTACAATAGAAATAACTTCAGTCGACTAAAATAATCATAAAGTGCAGCCCCATAACAATTTATATTTGTGAATCTTTCCATAGATTAAACCAATAAAATCTTGATTTCGGTAAATATTGTTCATCTGCAACAACATTTACACAAATATCAGCTAATGGGCTGAAAAAACTCAATTTTCATAAAGACGGATCACCGTTTAGTCAAGGTTTGATCCTGATCATGAGCAGGTTTAGTCCAGTTTAAGTCCAGGTCGAGTCCTGTTTTAAACCAGTTTATGTCCCGGTTTATACCCACGTTAGTGCTGTTAAAAAATCCTGTTTTCCTCCTGGTTTGTAGGTGTTTGAAGTCCTGTTTAAGTCCTGCTTTAGTTCTATTTAAGTCCTAGTTTAATCCTGATTTCAGCCTGGTTTTAGTTTGGATTTAGTTCTGGTTTAGACTCTGTTGAAATGTATTGTTCCTGGTTTCAGCCTGGTATAGTCCTGGTTTAGTTCAGTTTAAGACAAGTTTAAGTCCTGGTTTAGTCCTGGTTTAGGTCCCGGGGCACAGTTGAAGGCCAGAGGAGTTTAGTCCTGGTTTAGTCCTGGTTTAGTCTCAGGGCTCAGTTGAAGACCAGAGGAGTTTAAATACATCATTCATGAGCGTGTTTATGGAGGAGAATTGCCTCGTAGATCTTGTGGTCGGGCGTAACGGCGCAGCATTTTCTCGGTGATGGACGAGCCCGGGGACGACTCATGTTTTATTCAATCGTTTATTTCACACGTTTGGAGGAAATAAAATCAAACTCACTTTTTCCTGTGGTCGAAGCGTCCGGCGGCGCCCCCCGTCTGTGGAGAAGAAAAGCACCGTTACGATAAAATATACAGTTTAAGGGAAGAAGGACGGAGGACGGAGAGAGGCTGTGGGGATGAGACGGAAGCAGACTGTGAAAAAGAAAAAGACTAAAGACTCGTGTGTGGGCAAAAGCTCTCGAAACAATGACATATCTCTGTGTCTGAGACAAACTGCACTCCCCACACCACACCTGCAGGGGGCGTTCAAACTACATCATGTATTGTCACGTATAAAAACTTCAACTTGTGAATCATGAGTTTAATCGAACTCTTTACAAATCCTCAGCTCACTCACTCTCTTCTCCTTTCTGCTGTCGTCCCACAGAAATTCTGATCATCTAAATAACCTGACAACACTCCAGCAACCGATTAATCGACTTAAAGTGCCGATATATCACACTGTTTTCTGTTCTAATGTCGTTTCCTCATCACAAACTGACTTGGAGTGGTGTTTTTTTAATTCATTCACACATGTTCGGCTTCTGTCAAACTGAAAACATTCTGTTCCACCTTGTGATGTCATGTGGTAATACAGGAAGGAAGTGCTCCACTGTGTTTTTAAAATCCAGACAGCTTCACTAGGATCATTTTTGTCCTGGATTTGCCAATCTCCACTGAACAAAAGGCAACTTGAAAACTTCATGACATGACATCACGAGGTGGAACAGAGCGTTTTGAGCTGTGCAGATGTGGACAGACTCATAATAAAGGATTAAACTCACGAGAGTAAGTTTTGCGAACAGTTCATGAGATAAAACACGACAGGCAAAAGTCTTTTCAGTGCATTTTGAGCATTTTGTTTGTTGGTTTTAGTTCATTCATCCTGAACATTTCACACACAAATGTTGGGAAAATGGGTTTGTTTGTCTGAGCAGCCGGACCCTCCTACATCCTGTGTGAGTCACAAGTGTCTGTAATCGGACAAACCTCTGCCCAAACTTGGGACGGCCCGATCACAGACGCTCATTTGTCTCACGAGTTTCTCAAACACAGAAGACGTCTCCTCTCTCAAACTCTGGATCATTCCAAATGAAATCTTTTTGTTGATTTTTTTTTTACCAGAGATACAAACGTTTGGTGATTTGATCGTTGATTCTGTTGAAATGTTGTTTTTTTCCCCTTTTTACACATCATCAACTATGTTTGTTTTGACATGAACGGAGCGTGCATCTCTGTGATTGGTTAGTCCACCTGTCAATCACAACCTCAGGGAGAATCAAGGAGACAGAACATGGCCTTGTCTTTGTAAAGTTTTGTCCAAGTGTGTGGTTCTGTGGAGTTTTTGAAATAATTTTTTCTCTGACAGAGATTTCCAGTTGAAGTGGTAAAAAAGCTTCATATTTTTACATCAGTCAAGAGAGTTTGAGGAGAAAGACAAGAAAAGTGATGGAAACTGCAGGAGAACATCAGTCTGTCATCAACGCACAAAACACTGGGACGATTTACGCACAAGAACACCTTTGAAATTTTCACTGAAGAAAATAAAGGTGCTGATTTTTTTTTTTTTTTTTTTTTGTCTATCTTGTTTACATCCTGGTTACTCGGTCTTTATGGAATCACATTTATTCATATCTGCTGCTCATCTAAAAATATAAACTTATCCAATCAGGCAAAACAGATTTATCTTTACAGAATCATTTGTTGTAAACTAGTGCCCAGACTGAACAGGTTCACATACTTTCTGTAGCACTGATGGAGGAAAGTGTTTTGCTCAATGACACAATGGTAGTATGCACTTAGTATTGGAGTTATTTCACGTTTGTCTTCTGGTTCTGGTTTAGTCCTGGTTTCAACCTGGTTTAGTCCCGGTTTAGACCTGGTTTAGTCCCGGTTTAGTCCCGGTTTAGACCCGGTTTAGACCCGGTTTAGACCCGGTTTAGTCCCGGTTTCCCGGTTTAGTCCCGGTTTAGACCCGGTTTAGACCCGGTTTAGTCCCGGTTTAGTCCCGGTTTAGTCCCGGTTTAGACCCGGTTTAGTCCCGGTTTAGTCCCGGTTTAGTCCGGTTTAGACCCGGTTTAGACCCGGTTTAGTCCCGGTTTAGTCCCGGTTTAGACCCGGTTTAGACCCGGTTTAGTCCCGGTTTAGTCCCGGTTTAGACCCGGTTTAGTCCCGGTTTAGTCCTGGTCTCATCATGCTGAGAATAAAAACATTGTTTCTTTAGACATGATCCTGTGATTTTCCACATTAAATGGTAGAATTTCTTTTTTATCCCTGTGTGTCTTTTCATGTGTGTAAGTCCCTCAGCGGTCTGTGTGTAAGTCCCTCAGTGGTGTGTGTGTAAGTCCCTCAGTGGTGTGTGTGTTTAAGTCCCTCAGCGGTCTGTGTGTAAGTCCCTCAGCGGTCTGTGTGTAAGTCCCTCAGTGGTGTGTGTGTTTAAGTCCCTCAGCGGTCTGTGTGTAAGTCCCTCAGTGGTGTGTGTGTAAGTCCCTCAGTGGTGTGTGTGTTTAAGTCCGTCAGTGGTGTGTGTGTAAGTCCCTCAGTGGTGTGTGTGTAAGTCCCTCAGTGGTGTGTGTGTTTAAGTCCGTCAGTGGTGTGTGTGTAAGTCCCTCAGTGGTGTGTGTGTAAGTCCCTCAGTGGTGTGTCCCTCAGTGGTGTGTAAGTCCCTGTCAGTGGTGTGTGTGTGTAAGTCCCTCAGTGGTGTGTGTGTGTAAGTCCCTCAGTGGTGTGTGTGTGTAAGTCCCTCAGTGGTGTGTGTGTGTAAGTCCCTCAGTGGTGTGTGTGTAAGTCCCTCAGTGGTGTGTGTGTAAGTAAGTCCCTCAGTGGTGTGTGTGTGTGTGTGTAAAGTGTCCCTCAGTGGTGTGTGTGTGTAAGTCCCTCAGTGGTGTGTGTGTGTAAGTCCTCAGCGGTGTGTGTGTGTAAGTCCCTCAGTGGTGTGTGTGTGTAAGTCCCTCAGCGGTGTGTGTGTAAGTCCCTCAGCGCTCTGTGTGTAAGTCCCTCAGTGCTCTGTGTGTAAGTCCCTCAGTGGTGGTGTGTGTAAAGTCCCTCAGTGGTGTGTGTGTAAGTCCCTCAGTGGTGTGTGTGTGTAAGTCCCTCAGTGGTGTGTGTGTAAGTCCCTCAGTGGTGTGTGTGTAAGTCCCTCAGTGGTGTGTGTGTAAGTCCCTCAGTGGTGTGTGTGTAAGTCCCTCAGTGTGTGTGTGTAAGTCCCTCAGTGGTGTGTGTGTAAGTCCCTCAGTGGTGTGTGTGTAAGTCCCTCAGTAAGTCCGTCAGTGGTGTGTGTGTGTAAGTCCCTCAGTGGTGTGTGTGTAAGTCCGTCAGTGGTGTGTGTGTGTAAGTCCCTCAGTGGTGTGTGTGTAAGTCCCTCAGTGGTGTGTGTGTAAGTCCCTCAGTGGTGTGTGTGTGTAAGTCCCTCAGTGGTGTGTGTGTGAAAGTCCCTCAGTGGTGTGTGTGTAAGTCCCTCAGTGGTGTGTGTGTAAGTCCCTCAGTGGTGTGTGTGTAAGTCCGTCAGTGGTGTGTGTGTGTAAGTCCGTCAGTGGTGTGTGTGTAAGTCCCTCAGTGGTGTGTGTGTAAGTCCCTCAGCGGTGTGTGTGTGTAAGTCCCTCAGTGGTGTGTGTGTAAGTCCCTCAGCGGTGTGTGTGTGTAAGTCCCTCAGTGGTGTGTGTGTGTAAGTCCCTCAGCGGTCTGTGTGTAAGTCCCTCAGTGGTGTGTGTGTAAGTCCGTCAGTGGTGTGTGTGTAAGTCCCTCAGTGGTGTGTGTGTAAGTCCGTCAGTGGTGTGTGTGTAAGTCCCTCAGTGGTGTGTGTGTAAGTCCTCAGTGGTCCCTCAGTGGTGTGTGTGTAAGTCCCTCAGTGGTGTGTGTGTGTGTGTGTAAGTCCCTCAGTGGTGTGTGTGTAAGTCCGTCAGTGGTGTGTGTGTAAGTCCGTCAGTGGTGTGTGTGTAAGTCCCTCAGTGTGTGTGTGTAAGTCCGTGGTGTGTGAGTGTGTGTGTGTAAGTCCCTCAGTGGTGTGTGTGTAAGTCCCTCAGTGGTGTGTGTGTTTAAGTCCGTCAGTGGTGTGTGTGTGTAAGTCCCTCAGTGGTGTGTGTGTAAGTCCGTCAGTGGTGTGTGTGTAAGTCCCTCAGTGGTGTGTGTGTAAGTCCCTCAGTGGTGTGTGTGTAAGTCCCTCAGTGGTCTGTGTGTGTAAGTCCGTCAGTGGTGTGTGTGTAAGTCCCTCAGTGGTGTGTGTGTAAGTCCCTCAGTGGTGTGTGTGTAAGTCCCTCAGTGGTGTGTGTGTGTAAGTCCGTCAGTGGTGTGTGTGTAAGTCCCTCAGCGGTGTGTGTGTAAGTCCCTCAGTGGTGTGTGTGTAAGTCTCTGTGTGTGTGAGTAAAGTGCTTCTTCTTCTCTTGTCTGGTGTTTTTATTTCTAAATGTTTCCTCCAGCTGTTTTCGAGCGGCTCGTTTCCTCTGGGAGCTTCTCCCCGCTTCAGCCCTGTGCTTTTACACGCACTCATCTCCTCGCGCCGTTTTCCGTGGCGATCCGCCGCGTTTGTTGCCGCGGAGACGGGCATATTTCCACCCCGCGGCGCTGCACCCCGCCATCAACAGGCGAACAAATCAAACCAACCCTCTCAGCTGCAGGCCCCTCCCCCGCGGACGACCACAGGAGACTGGCACAAAAACAGATTATACACAGATTATACACTTACGAAACACCGCCAAAGGACACGCACTGTTCAGGCCCGGTTCAGGAACGGTTTAGACCCGGTTTAGACCTGGTTTAGACCCAGTTTAGACCCGGGTTAGACCCGGTTTAGACCCGGTTCAGGCCCGGTTCAGGCTCGGATTAGACCTGGTTTAGACCCGGTTTAGACACGGTTTGAACCTGGTTTAGATCTGGTTATGTCCACCTGCTTTAAACCAACACTTCATCGGGACTAAATAAATACAGCATTTTTTCCAGTCCAACAATCAGAATAATGAAAAATTAGGCTGTTTCCATGGCAATTAAAAAATAAAATCTAAATATTTGGAACGGTGTAAAGTCGTCAAAATGTCACAAAGTCAAGAAGGCCACAATTTATA